CCCCTGCCGCCGCCAGCATGTTCCGAAACGGGACGGGCGCCCGGCCAGGTTCAATACCCCAGGCCACGCTCGTTCCGGGGCTGGCCCGAGCCTCCCCTTGAGAGCTGTACGGAGGACAGGCGGCCTGTGTGCTGTGCTCCTGTCCATCCGCTCCCCACCGCACCCCCCGGCCTGTGCTTCCTGGGGCGCCTCTGGGGGTCCAGGCCAAGGGGAGCCGGGTTCAGCTGGGGGAAAGTTGGGGGCTGCAGAGAACACGTCCCCTCGAGGCCCCTGGAGTCGGCCATTTCTGGTCTGTCCCTCTGCAGAGATACAACGCCGACTACGACCTCTCGGGGAAGCAAGGGGCGGACACGCTGGCCTTCGTGTCTCTGCTGGAGGAGAAGCTGCTGCCTGCGCTGGTGAGCGGGATTCGGAGGTGCTCCGGTTCCAGCCCCGCAGGAGGGTCCCTCCAGGAGCAGCTGAGGCAGGCGGAAGCTCAGGGTTGGGATTAGGGTGCAGCGGCAGAGCGGGCACTGCCTAGGGATGGAGGTGACTAGTCAACTATCTAATACGCAAAAGCTTCTGGGATCGTCAGCTAGTCCTTCGACTAGTCCCGTCCACCCCCACCCTCTTGCTGCTTCTCTCAGAGGCAGCGGCGGGGGGAGCAGGAGCCGGCTTAAACGCTGGTTCTCCCAGCACCATCTCCGCGGGGGGCAGGGGAGGCCAGGAGGGTAGCAGGGACCGGACGCGAGCCTGGCCCCAGACACTGCTGCTCTGCTGTTTCAGTGCATTAAGAGCCTGTCAACTCTCAATCCGTTTAAAAGGCAGCGCCGCGGGGGGGTTAGCGCCCGGGGCTGGGAGTTAACCCCCCTGCGGCTCCCCAGTTTCCCCCGCTTATCGACGAGTCGATGGAACTTCCATTGACTTGCCGATTAAAGGAAGTGGCACATCCCTAGCACTGCCAGGGCTGTCTGGGGCCCAGGAGCCATCAGCGCCCCCTGTCTTTGGGGAGCGGGGTTCAGCGTGTGGCCCTGGCGCACTCGGCGCGAGGGGAACGCCGCCACCCTGCGTTGGCTCGGGCGGGTCACCGCTGTCCCCGTGCCGCAGGCTGCCCCCTTCTC